TGACGGTCGCCTCTCCCGCCCCCCGTCCCCCCCTATTCGAAGCCAAATCATTAACATCAAGCTCGCGGGAAAAGAAATCAAAATGTCAGCCCGCTCCGCCATCGCGGAGCAGATGACGATCGCCGCCATTGCTCAAAACACTTTCATTCTCAGAGCCATCCGGCGGAGGAGCGCTGTCTCCCGCTGCCGACTCTTAACCGTGTTCAAGACGGAGACCGGCTCCGCGCCGGGCACGAGGCATGTTTGAGAACTTTTTAAGGGGAATTATTGAACATACGGAAAAGCCGCTCAGACGTTCCCGCCGTGCTTGGAGACGGGCGTCATGAATAATGGCTGCGTGTTCCCCGAAGGCCTCATTACGTTGGCTACGTGATTACTTCGCACGAAAGCAAGACGATGGGGAAAACGCGGCTTTCGCCGCGCAAGCGGGCGGCCTTTGTTGACATCGGTGTGAAATTCCAGGTTGTTTAGAAATGAGGTGCTCTTCCAATCGATTATTGCGAAAATAGTTCCTCGGAGTTCGAAAGAGCATTTAATCACCGAGACGCATTTACTCGGGCGTGGTAGCTAATGTTCCGACGAGGAGTCGGGAAGTCACCAAGTTACTCAATGTTAAAAAAAATTCGCCGAGATATAGTTTGCGTGCTTAACGTTTGGTTGCTGACCCACTTTCGGGTTCTTTTAATGATTCACTGATCCAGAGTTCTTGATGAATCCTGGCAAACTTCTGCAGGCTGGTAGCAGTCGATTCAGTTTGTTTGCTTTTTTTGCATAGCGATGAATAAAAGAGAAAAGTTTTCTAAAGGCTGTTTTTTTCAGATCGAGCAGGCTGGAGGACCAAGCTGCTTCCACAGTAAAATGGACCGAACGGATCCTCAAAAGGAGCAACCACAATAGGCAGCATGTTTAACATCTGTGATTTTATTATTATTATTTTTTTAATCAGACCATCTTGTAGCTATAATCTGATTTTCAAGAAACCACCGCACCCCAAGAAAAACAACCAACCATCAATAAGACTGACGAGATGTCAACCATTTGCCGCGCACTCGCGGCCGCAGAAATTGGCGCTTTACGAAACAGTTAACATCAAATAAAATAACAAACCCATCACATAAAACTCGCGAGAGGCCCTTTGAATGTTTTCTGTCAATTCCCTCCAGATTTTTGTGTCGATTTTTAGGGCAAAATTGCTCGGTCGGTGGTTAAAAATTCCAAAATCTCATACGAATATTTTCCCTCCTCCCAAGCGCACAAACGTCTTGATAAATCCAGCGACTGTCGGAAAAATTAGCCCCGTGATAAATGTAGAAAGTCCGCGTTTGATTTTCCTACTAAATCCTCACCAGAATACAGAAACATGTCACGGTTGCCACTTGGAAGCTTATTTAAATATTTTCCCTCCCTGTGTCAACTACCCGTCATCCATTTTTAATGTCTGTATCGCGGCATCACCTCCAGGGAGGCTTTACCTCGCATCTAATACGTCATGATGCAGTTCAGGGTACCTCATTATAACGTGGAGTGTACGTTCAAACATTTAAAAAAAAAAATTAAAAAAAAATGGGGGATTTTCTTTTATTTTACTTTGTACACGTTAGCGAGTTGCCCGCTTTCTAAGGGTCGTCGTCTTCATCAAAGATTGCATTTGTGGCATCAAAGCGCAATGATAAAAAAAATATATAAATAAAACTATCTTCTGCATACAAGTTGTTTCTCGAACTCAATTTTCTGCAAGCCTTTCAAAATTGAGTCAAAGGGTCAAAAATGGCTGCCACCGACTCACCCGATTCAAGAAGAAAAAAAAAAACACACTGCCAATTTTTACACTTGATTGACACCGACCATTCGTAAACAAACCATAAAAAGTACATTTCCATTACCTTTTTTTCTTATAAAAAAAGCTTTATACCAAAACGT